TTTTTTTTTTTCTGTGATCCGATCCGTGATCCGATCCGTGATCCGATCCGTGATCCGGTCCGTGATCCGATCCGTGATCCGGTCCGGTCCGATCTAGGTTTTGTCGACGCCGTGGGTTATATGTCTTTTTGCGCTGCGCCGTTTCCTTGCGCCTTTTCTCATGGACGGAATCAAACTGTGTAAAAAGCAAAATGCTGCTTTTGAGGGATATGGAATGTAAAACAATCTGGAATGAGAACGTGTGCTAGTATAAAGCTACCTGAAATTGGCAACACTTCCCGAAATCTCAGAAAGCTTCTGGTTATTAACAAATCAGAATACATGGGGCTTCCACCCGTTAAAAAAGCTAATTTTGTCTTGATAACCAGATAATATATGAATTTTCACTGACACGTTCTTAATCGCAATCACTCGAATAGCATACAAAAGACGACATACAACGGCAGAAAAAGGATACCAGGTGAGGTTTTAAACCTTATTCTTGCTTTTCAAAGTGAAGAAAAACGATCGTTTTCAGAGTTTTTGATCGTATTTCAAATTATTGCAAACTCCATTCTAAGGCATCATTGCTTAGGTAAGCATGCGCATTGCGTGCTGTATTACGTCTCTACCTCCCCTCCCCTCTTATCACGTTTTTCTCCCACTGACCTTTACGAGTGTAGTTGATCTCCGCCATTTTGGCACGTGTGGAAGAGCAGGTAGTCGAAAATGGAGTTTAAAAGGTTTGTCCTTTGTCTTAAGACGGTTCAAACCAGCGATAATTATTGATGTGAAGCATTGGTTTACTTTCTTTACTTTGTTAGCAGGTCGGAGCAGAAGGTGGAATCAGGAGGCGTTTTGTTTACCTCTACGGAAACTATTCCTTAGGTATGAAATTTATAAGGTAAGCGTTAGAGCTCATACACTTAATATACAGGGCGATTGGCTTCAGTTTGATTTAAAACCTGTTAAGCTAGGTGGAGATGCGACTTTCCGATACATGTATCAAGCCATTTAGGTTCTTTTTTCGTAAATACTTATGTGGGTGCTCACAGAAACTTATTTACCTGCCAACCACCTACTTCCCGGGGGGAGGTGGTGGTGGTGGTGGTGGTGGGGGGGGGGGGGGGTACGTACATGTACATAGAACGACTGAGTGTTTTGCCAACAGGTTGAGAACTTCAATCTCATACATTCTCACACCTACAACTGACTGACTGATGGAGGGTAAGCTGGTTGGCTAACAGAGTTACTAACTGACAAATTACTGACTAACTGACTCAACAACCAACAAAGGGTTACATGTAGATTAGCTGATGGCCAATGGAATGGTTAATTGAAAGAAACACATTCTCACTTAACAAACTAAATTGATAAGTGACCCTGGAAGTTTCCTTTGCCTGATCTTAGATCTTGGTACATTTACATCGCAATTCCAGGACAAGACATTCAAACCTCACTAAGCCACCATTTATGTTAAGTGACCAACTTAAGTTTCCTATGCAACGACATTTTCACTGTATTAAATGTAAAAAAATGCAGTCGTTAAAGAAACTCCAACAAAATTAACCTACAAAATTAATTTTGTAATTTGCAAACATTTCGTCATGTACAGAGTACATTTCATCATGTACTCTAAGAAAATATATCCTAAGCACCCCACTGGTTTTGGAAAATTTATTTCATCCACAGTTGGTTCAATTACATCATATATGGTTATTTATTGTAAATTTTGATGGATACCTTAACAGGGATTCAAAATTGCAGTGGAATTTGTTTCTTGGCTGATAGGTTTACAGTATTTTGCAAAAGTAGCTTGTGGCTTTTCAAGGAACAATCGCTTGAAACACCATTTCAGCAATATATCACCCCATTTTCCTGATGTCTATTGTTTCAGCTGGCACAAATTTTCAAACAATAATTCACTGTTCTTGATAATTTGCCACAAATTTCCTTCTGTTCATCAATAGGGTAAGCTTTTCCAAGCAGAGTTTGCTGTATGGGTGAAATACATAAATCTCATTTCTGAAGATTGTGCATGAAGGCTGCCAAAATCTGTCAATACTGTCACAACTCCATGAACTATTAACTATCAAATGACATGACAAAATGCTTTTTAATGTCATCACAGAATATAGAATATTTTATGTTCATAGAAGTGTTCCATAACCTTTGTCTGTGAAGTTTAGGCTGTAACTGATTAGTGGTGCTACTTGGTAAAACATGGAAATTATTAATTGACACACATGATACGTGTATAACTGAACATGACCTGGACCAGATAAAATGTGTTTTGGCTAAAAGTGCCTCATCAATTTTTTTGTGACTGTTTGCTTTAGCGGCTTATCTACCCAGAACTGGGGATGATTTTAGTTTGCATGTGAAATGAATTGAGCTCCCTGTCTTCATAATAAGGTAAGGACATCCTTATTCTCTATGTGTGAAGCTGAATTCTGAACTCAAGCATGGGAACCGTCTTGAAAACCTTTTCACAAATTTTCTAGATTAACGTAACATTGTCATATAGATAACATCAACGACTGCAGACCATGTACTCCAGCACATGTTACAAACAATTACATGTATCAAAATTAATTTCTTGTACAGTAAGTTACATGACAGTTTGTTCATACTGGTCACAAAGAGACTTGCCTGAATGTTGGTGAACTGCTGCTCAGTGCCTTGCAAAAACAAGCAAAATAATGTTAGTGCTTGTGAATTTTCATTGACTTCCCAAAATTTCACGCTTTTCTCCAGCAAATTATTGCTCAACTTACTCTGAAACTCAACAACTTTTCAAGACCAGACAACAAAATTTGCAAATTTTCCTTGCTGCATTACTTCTGCACAGTACTGTACTTGACAAGCCAAATGACAGAACAATGAGCTAAATCTTACACTGACTGATTACTTCCTCAACTGATTGGTTTAAGTGAAATTTTAAGAAAGCTACCTGGTAATAATATTAGTTTAAGGAGAATTAATATGTCCACATATGTGGACCTTGGGACTGTTAGCTGGTATGTTTACAGTAACCAAGGTCTTTATTAAACTAACAGTACAATGGTACATTGGTTTTAGTCAATATTTTGTTTCTGTTCCAATGACACCATAGACACATTTGAAATGGAAAGTGATACTGATGAGTGATTTGGTAAGGATAATTAATTTTGTGAAGAAATCATCCCTCGAAGGTCTATGGTAATCTTAAACCCTGTTAACTGTTTAGTGATCTTATATAATTTATAAATTGAGATAAAAAGAAGTTAATCTTGCTTTTCAGGTCAGATGAGAACAGAGACAAAGTGACTGAAGCTTTATCAGCCATCTCTAGAAGAGTTGTAAGTTTTATTTTGCAATTCAGCTTTTGGGTGAACCAGGTAAACAAAGCTCTTGAATAAGCCAAGTTCTGTTCTGATTACTTTAATTCAGTCATGCTATGTATTCTGCCATGCTTTATCTGCACAATGAATAAGAAGAGCTCTTAAATAACACATTTTTAACAATTTATACAATCTTGAAATAATATCAGTCGTTAATAAATCATTGTTTTAGGCTTATTATTCTTTACTCAAAATCAGTGTTCACACTCTATACTCAAAATCATTTCTCTGGGCTGGTTTGCATTTTCCCTTCTAAATCCTTTTTGATTACTTGAGTGACTAACTGAGTGACTAATTGGGTTATAATGGAACCATTTGACTGGTTGACTGTTCGAATTACCTGCTTGCCGAACTTGTCTGGCAGACCTATTGACAGATTCATTTAGTAATGAACTCGTTGATTAACCAGTTGACAAACCTGTCTACACACCTACATGATAGCTGATCAACTTAATAGATCTAAACAACCGGCTTAGTGACATTAAAAAACCAACTAATTTACAGCTTAATAAGTGATTGACAGACTAAATGCTGTACTGATTGAGATTGATTACCACTGTGAATGATTGAATGACTGGTCAAATGATTGATTGATAAAAGTGATTGATTTTATGATCAATTTACTGTAAATGGTTTGATTTAAAAAATGACAAACAAAGCTATCATTAGTATATTGATGGAGTAAGTAGGCAACTGACCGAATGACTGACTAATCAATAATGTTTCATTGATTGACTAATACTGACTGACTGACTAACCCTAATAGATTGATTGGCCAATTGATTAATACTGATTGATTGATTGATGAAATTATTGGCTAAATACATCATAAATAACTACATGACTGACTGACAAACATACTGCGTGATAGAAAGAAGATTGTCTGGTTGCTCAATGTTGCTGTTTAATTAATCTGATTAATTGTCCCATATTTGCTTAACTACCAAAAACATTAATTATTGAATGACTGAAGGACCAGCTGTTGATAAATGATCCATTTAACTGCCATGCCTATAATGTTTAGACAAATTTGCTTGTTGGCCTGACTGAGGGACAGACCAATAAACAGACAAAGAGGCAGACTGATTGACCAGCAGGTCAACTAACAATTAACTGACCAAACAACAGACTGATCAGTTGTGTGATTGAGTGATTGTTTATCTGACTGACTGACTGACTCACTGACTCGCTCTTTGACTGACTCGCTGACTCACTGACTGACTGACCTGCTGACGGACTGACAGACTGACTCGCTGACTCACTGACTTGCTGATTCGCTGACTCACCGACTGACTGACGCACTGACTCACTGATTGGCTGACTCGCTGACTGACTGACTGACT